TTCTTCGTATTAAACTGTGGCGAAATGCTACAAGTTCTTCAAATACCTATAGAATGATAGGTTTCTTTTTGGTGGGTGTAAAACACTAAAATACATCTAAAGGTTTTGTTTCATTACTAAACAATTACAATATTTAATTTCCTGTATTTCATAATTCACTCCAATCTTTTTCTCCAAAACATTATCTTCTTATGTAACCACATAAGATACTCTTGTAAAATTTACTAATTATATTATTCATTTTTTTACATATAACTAATTCAAATATCCTTCTGGTTTCTCGTATTGGGCAAGCTTCTCCCTATCCCACCATATTTGTTGGAGTCATGTTCTCATAATTTGGGTATGTAGGAAGTTTTAGATTTTCTAGTTCCATATCGGGTGTGTCTAACATTTTACACTGGCGTTTCTTCATGTTGGGTATTTACATCCTTTTCCTCTCTTATCTTTACCTCAGTGAGTCATATCAAGATGCATTAGGCTTTCTTTGCAGCTTAATTGAAGTTCATGACCTCTTGTAATATGACAAGGGCTAGCACAGTTTTTCTTTCTAATATCTCCGCAATTGGAGGTTATGTTTCCATCCCTTTGTGTTTTTATCAGCAAGATTTCTCGAAAACGGCTAAATGGATTTTGACTATCACCCAACTTAAGAGTGATTAGTTTTGGAAAAAATCCATATCTGTTAACATGGTGACCAATTGTTCATACTATTTTTGCTTTATAACTCACCTGCCAAAAATGGTCCGTCCCCATTGATAATGATGGATATACAGACAGAGTTTAGTATTTTTTGAGAGACGAATATGACCAATGCTGCGTAGCAGAGGTATTTGCTCTACCGAGTGCCCCTTTAGTTTGAAAATATGATCAATGCTGTGTGGTGGAGGTGTTTGCTCTATCCAGTGCCCCTCTAGTTTGGGTATGAGATTATGACCAATGCTGCATGGCGGAGGTTTTGCTGTACCGAGTGCCCCTCTGTACACAGAAATGTATTTTACTAAATAAATCAAGCTCAGTAGTCACATCAGAGTAATGTTTATTTTAGTCACAGGGCAAGTTTCAAAGATTTGTTTAAATAATACAGGGTTTTATAATTGTTTTGCTATACACAAAACTTCCAATAAGGAGACTCGTATAACAATAACAGCTTTTATCTGCTCATTTTTAATGCAAGATTTGCTTATACAGTTTCTTGTTATTTAAGGACAAGAACCACAAGACAAGACTTTCTTCAAACAATGAACATATTTTGAGAGAACTTGCATCATAGTTTACATAGATGGCATGTCTGTTGTTTTTTTTTCCACAAAATAGGAAATTGACTACAAAATGCATATGTTGTTCTATCTTCCTGTGGCTTTTCACCCATCTTCACACTTCACCTTTTAAGATTTATATAATTTAAAAGAAATGATAAAGAAAATAATTCTGTAAACATGTTCTTTGAGTATTTATCAAAAGAATCTATAAGAAAAAGAACCATCCTAATCAGACGTTATACGTAAATTAATATTTATCTTTAATTTTCAGATGGTGATTTCTTATTTTTTATTAGTGATACCTGAATGATTAATATTAACACTATTTATCCCAACAATGCATGAATCTCATCAATCACTCAATGAACAATATCCCAACAATGCACAAATTTCACTATTTCACATTGGTGAATTGTGTACTATAAAAGAAATATGTACAGAGCCATAACTGCTATAGCAACACTGAGGCCAAACCCTCAACTGTTTTTGGCTTTCTGAATCCTTGTAAAGTACTCTCCCATGGATCAAATTGTAGGATAGTTGAAAACGGCAGAAAAGTACAAATTCTGGCTACTATATATTTTTTGTATAGTATTATATCATATGCAGTACGTATTATGTGCGAATATTCTATAAAGCACAGCTTCCAAGGCACTTAATATAACAATTACAAAAAAATCAGTGCTGTGTTTCCCTTTACCATAGTGATTCATACTCTTAATGACAATGTGTACAATCTAAATTTTGCATTTTCCACACTGGAAAACTAAGTAAGTAATTTGAGTATTAAGTAATATTTTATGTGACATGAATTTGCATACACATGGGAGTGTGATCAAATTATGAACTACAACTTAAGAATCCAACAATCTAAATTCCAATTTTATGAAAAAATAATACCAAAACTCATTTCTGATAAGTTTCATAAAATGAAATATCTTTTTTTTTATAAACAACTTCTAGCAACCATCAAGATAAGTTTGATGTACGTTTCAGGATAAACACAGCAGCTGCAAGGCCACCAATGTTGACTCCAACGACTCTTGCCTGATGCCAGAGCTTTCTATGTCGAAAAATTGCCTGACGGAAAATGAACTGCTATTAGGCTTTAGTTAAAACATTACACATATTAAGATTAATAAATTAATAAAGTGCAGGACAAAGAGGGAAGTTATTCCTCTACATTTAATTTATTTTTTTAAATTTTATCGAATAGCAACTGAAATAAACAGAGCATTATAAAAAAACTACTGTATTCTTCAACAAGTAGAATTTTGTTAAAAGCACTAGCTATCATCATTCACATACTAAAATTATCCTTGTAGTCTAATATATACTTTAATATTATAATAACTAATATATTTCATTTGTTTTTGTTATTCCATACAAAATGATTATGGAATTAAGTTTTGAATATCCAACACTGTATAAAAAATATACTAATTTATAATATCCCTTAAACATTATTCATTAATCAGTACATTTACAGACATCAAGTAAAAGACAAAATAATTTTTGTAATTAAACTAATGATTCGACCTTGCAGTTTTTCTTAAAGTTTTTAAAACATTTTTAACTGACACCACATACAGCTATGATAACCAACTTGAAAGTTGATATTCATTTACAAAGTAGTTACAATTGCACAGAGAGGTCAATACTTTGTCATTTTCTTTCTCATAATTTTCAAAGTAGTTGTTAAGATGTTAAGAAAATATAAAAGTAATTTTTAATGCCTTCAAATTTTACATTTGGAATAATATTTGAAGTAATCAGGTCATTAAAAAAACTAATTATGCAGCTGTAGTGATATTATCATAAAAAAATTTTTAAATAAAAAAGCTTTTACATGACCTAACTTAAAACATTCTTGCTACAGCATCAAGCAGGACAGCTATATAATTGGTTAAACACATTAGTGGTACAAGCTAGAAATATTATATATAGTAAAAATAATCATTTACTAAAATTTCAACAAAAGGTTTCACAGACAGAAGTATCAAAAAGATCAATTTCTTTAACATAAAAATGGCTTTGAAATTTTTGAATTATGCGAACAGATAATAACAAAAAACGTTTAAATATCCTAACCTTGGCTAAATATTTACAGTCTAAAAATACACAGTTAGTTAAACCTATGTACTTTGCAAACATTATAGAAATTGACTACAATTCACTGAGAAGTCATAAGTTGAAAGTGTTTAATACACATTTGTACATTGAACAATTTTAAATTGTATGAGAAAAGTTGAAACCAGAGTTCAGAACAGATCAACATTAGGACGTAGAAATTTCTGACAAACATCTAGAGTCAAGTTTAATTGCATTAAACATTACATTTAACAAGTATCCAGATACAGCACCTTTGGTTTCTGTGTGATCAGAATGTTGAAATGGGTGCTGTGAAACAGTCATCCTTGTACAGTAGATGGATTATGTAAAGAGTACAGGAGTAGTGTGCTTTGACATGAAAGCCATACAACGGAGCCTTCTGTACTGGAAACTGCATTGCTGGGCACGGTTACACGGACTGTAATGACATTGTGATTCTCCAGAATCTTTTAATATAATGTACTCAACCTCTTTTGACACAAAAGTCTTAAACCTAAAAGAACAATACAAGGATTAACTGAGAAATTTAAAAAAATTACTGCACATGTTTGCTGAAAGATGAGTAGGCAATATGTTTTCAAATGAAATAGCACAAATAATCCATTTCAATCTCCAGTTACTTGAGGTATGCAATGGTTGAAAGAACATGCCATGGAAGCAACATGTGTACATGTGACTTATTTCACTTTTTGATCATGTTGCATACTGTTGTTTGGGAGATATGGACTGCTTTTGTCACTGACCATTGTGTTTGTGAATTTTCACCTGTTACAAAATTCTGCACATTGCTTACCATGGTTGGGGTATGATTTATTGCAGGTCTGCTTCAGGATGGTCCTGGTATCACAAGTGGATCCACATTCCCTTTTTTTCTTTTTTTTTATTAAGTAAAAGAAATATATTTATAGTGGAAATGGTTAATCCATGATCTGAACAGATATTTATGATCTCAGTGTATGAATATTTTGAGACAAAAAAGGGTTGTTGCATATCATTTCTCAAAAGAAATATTTTTTTAAGCGGCATAACACTACTTATGAAATGCTAAACAATTTCAAAATATAGTTCTAATACATGTCATTCCGCTACAACTTTATATCTGCTGTGGTTAACATGTGGCTTGATGATTTGTATATTTAAGTTTGTCTTAATATAATATACTCAACCCTTTGTATAACTGACTTTACAGTAAGCATCTGAAGTATTTTAGAACTTTGGCAAGGAAGAAGAAATCTTCCATTTTTAGTAGCATATTTCACAAATTTACATGTATTACAGACACAAGCTTCAACCTTAATTCAAACAAGTCTAATAAACCGGGTTACAAAGTTTGTCATAACATACCTTTGTCAAAGAAACTTTATCATGAGTTAGTAAAACTGCTCTTCCCATTTCCAGTTTAGAAGCTCTAGCCATTTGTTCCAGTATTTTTGGATATAAAACTCGATTGTCTGCTTTGGAGCCAAGCCTCTTCCAAATGGCTAAACAGAAAAGTAAAACAAGTAAGTCAGAAAACAGGAGAGGTTGAATGTAATTTATATTTAGATAAGACTGTGGCATCATTATAAATCATTTACATTATTAGGTTTCATTTTGTATTACACGTACTTGTCAAATGCACACAAAACTCATTTATGCCTAGCTAATCAAGCCTATAAATGTAATTGCATATTGTACCTGATATTACAATGGATTTTTTAATTTTGGACTTCAACTAAGCTCTTTATAGTTACATGCAAAACCACACAAGTCAAGAGAAACTTTTGCCACAAAACTACTCATATCAGTGTATAAATCAAAATGTTATTTATTGACCAAAGAAAAAACAAAAAAAAAGACCGTGAAACAGTAGCATATAAAGCCCTAATAAGAAATTTTAAATACTTTCATCACTCTTGTATTTCAATTTCTCATGACCATGATGCACTAGCTCCAGAAAACTAGACTGGGAAATGATTTCATAGTATGGTTATTAATGGATGAAACTGGGAATTTATGTGAAGTAGAGATTTCTGTATACAAAATAACATGTAACAAAAATGATTTAAGGATATTACAACTTTTTTAAATTCTGATATTCTTCTTCAGTGCAACGGGGATCTGAGATCTGTAAAGCTGCCAGTCCCAATATAGTTTAAGAGTTTCTTTACAAAACAGATCTTCAGAAAATACAATGTTGTCCTAAGTATTATATTTGGAAAATGAACATGACCCAACGATATTAAATGTATTACAAATCAAACTCTGATATATAATTTTACAAACACACATTGTAGCTTCTATATCTCTCTATTAAAGATTTACAGATAAAAAAATATACTTTTGCTGGATTTCAAGTTCACATGCTGTACATACACATACAAATAAAATACCACATAACTAACACAACATTTTGTAGTTACTCTACTTTTTAAAAGTTGCAAAATTTCATCTCAGCTTTTACACTTTAGAACTTTTATCTTTCCAATTCACCTCTTCATAAAAAATACAGTGAAGATGAGGTCTTCTTCATGATCAAAACTTTATTAACAAACTTTAAACCCTATATCAAAGCCATTATCAGGTCAACTTTTGAAAAATTAAAACAATGGACAGCAAAAATTGGCTGTTTCAGATGTGATAAGGATAAGTCTCTGTAGAATGAAAGTATTAAATGTAATTCACTTCTACTACAGAAGGGCTGAAAGTACAGAATGTGGAAAAAAAAAACATGGTTTGGTACCAGGATATTTTATGAAGGCAATATCTGGGTGAAGGGTCTAGGAACTCAATCAGGTTCAGAAGCAGGATGTGGGGAGGGGGATAAAGGGATCCATACAGTTGTGATGAAAATAGTGTCTTGAGGATAATCTATATTCATATAAAGGTATTTATTCTTAACAATTATCAAATGAAAATGCTTAAATGAAGCATTTTTTTTATCCTGAATGAAAATATGTTTTGTAGAAGTTAATAAAATGAAAAACAACATAAAACTTACCAAATCTGTCACAAAAACATCAACAAAATGGTCTCTTATAGGAAGCTGTGTGGCATCCCACCTAAATATATCAACTACCTGTCTTTTTCTGCAAGAAATCAACAAATAAATTTGACACTAATTATCATACTTAAAGAAATAAAAAACAACCACACTGTATTTGTATTAACAATTGTGAAAAACTAGGGGGGAATGTATAAATGATTTTTAGATATCAAATGAGACAACCAGAAAAAAAAAGAGAAGACAAAATCCTGGTATGTTGTATATAATTAACATTATTATTAAAAACAGAAGTTATAAAACAGATATGTTTTTATTTTACAATTAAAAGTGAAATTACTCAGCTATAGCTCAGATAATGAGTGCAAGTCAACACTGGGGAAAATGTCTAATACAGATTATCATGAGAACAAGCAACACAAACAATCTGTTGCTATTAAAACTACAGGTTTAGGTTTTGTAAGTTGAAAAAGCAAAATAAAAGGTTTAAGCCTAATTACATAAACTGATATGTTATTCAAAAACTAACAATATTTTATAAGCTGCTAGTTTTTAAAACTTTACCTATTTAATTCACTTCTTCATAAAGAATACACAAATAAACAAATATAGTGAAACACGAGATAATGTAATAACTTTGGAAAATTCTTAAAATAACTAAATTTACTTTGAACAAAGCTTTTACTCAGCTTTCATTTCTTCATTTACACTTGAGTTTTTCAACTACTAGTAGACCTAAAGCACATCCTTCATTAAGTACGACTCAGATACAGCAAAGTTTATTGAAATATTTTAGTGCTTTAGAAAAATATTAAGTGAGGATATTTGTATCAAATTATGATATACATTTGAAAAAAGCAAAACGATGTTAAATTCCAATAAAAAACTACATAATTTATACAAAGTGAGACAAAGCAATCTAAGTATATGAAGAAAACAAAATGTGGCAGCTGATACATGCAAGTCCCGAGAATGTTGTCTTTTTAATAGTGAGAAAATTAATACTCTTCTACATATTTATGTTAAGTCTAAAGGTTTGTTGGCTTAGCTTATCTACAGTTTTTAAAAGCAACAGAAATACAGAAAGTTAATACCTATATCAACGACTGTTGAATTACTTATGTAATTTTACAAAAGAGACAATGGGCAATGATAAATAAATCAAATGCACCGACTGGTCAAATATTAGAGAAAAATGAAGTTTATACTACTGTGAACCAAAACGAAATTAATAATATTCTTGCTAAACTTTATTAAAAAAAATGTTTATTTCTTACTTTCCTATTTCTTTCATTTCTTGATTTACAGCTTCAAGATTTTGTTTAGTTCTTGGAGTAGCCAAATCATGGTTGTCTCCACAGATGTGATGGGCCTCGGGCCAGCTCAACACACCCTGAAACATTAATAAAAATTGTACTGTTTCCTCCAGCTTGTCCCATAAACATGTTAATGATTTTAATAGGTATTTTATAAACTTCTATCTGTAACAGCAACTTTTCACTGTTTTTTTTATACTTCAAGTTATTTTCAAACATTTCACACTGATGCTGGAATTAAAAGAAAACCAAAATTGTTGCAATTAAAGGTTTTTTTTTCATATTATAGTGATTCTAATATTTTTTTTACAGTCGTAACACTTATATTTCCACATAATGAATCATTTTAATCTCTGAAAAAGGTTATTTAGTATCGTTACAAGTTTTTAGCCAAGTAGTAAAGGTTGTACTCTCTTCTCTTTGTTTTTCAAGGATTATCATGAATTTGTTTTCCTTGAAATATATATTATCTATTATGTGCTATGACAAGAATCTTTTCTAGTTTTATAACATGAAATCTAAGGATAATTATTTTTAACAAAGAATTAGTTTACTTAGTTTTAATAGTCTTGTGAAAAATGTGTATGGAGAAATCCACAGAATGGTATTAATCATGTTTTCAGCTCATTACTGGTTTTTTGTATTACATTACGTGTATGATACATTTAATTAGTTTTGGTAGCCTTGTGAAAATTTTGTATGGAGAAATCCACAGAATGGTATTAATCATGTTTTCAGCTCATTACTGGCTTTTGTATTACATTATGTGTATGATACATTTAATTAGTTTTAGTAGCCTTGTGAAAATTTTGTATGGAGAAATCCACAGAATGGTATTAATCATGTTTTCAGCTCATTACTGGATTTTGTATTACATTATGCATATGATACATTTTCATGTACAAGAGTTTAGGGTTAAAAAGTAACTTACTCCTAAATTGTTGTACCTGAAGATGTCTATAATATCAAATATAATAGTTTGAAAAATTATTTAGAAAAACCCAAACAAGTTGCTGAAAATAAAAAAATTGGACTCATATGAGAAGAATCAAGTACTTGAATGTAAATCAATCAAGGAGCCCAACAACTGAGCAACTACCACTACCCAGCTAACACATGACGTTTCTAGAATGTTGCTGAATAGTTGTGCATTGGTAAAACTGACAACATCATGCATTATATGTTGTGGCAGTGTTGGATA